CATTTTGTCATTGTTGGATACAAATTGTAGATAGGTTGTGTGTTTGTATGAACAATGTCTATGAAACACTATGGAACCTCTGTACCCAGATGTAAACATAAATATATAGATGGATGTATAAATATTTTTAAGTGTGTTATTCATGTTGTCCAAACTTGATTACTAATTTCTTTTGTCTGATTCATCAATCAATTCCTGAAAGAAGCATAATCTCCAAATAGAATTGTGGATTTATTGATTTTTCCTTTTATACTTGACAATTTTTTATTTATATATTTTGCTGACATGTTATATATATGATACATACAAATTTAGAACTGAATATTTCTTACCTTAAATTCTATTTTTTAAATATTAGTAGAGCTGCATAACTTTTCCTTCTCTTATTGTTTTCATCCTTTTACTTGACCTTTCTAGACCCTTATGTTTTAGGTGAATAAACTGTAAGCAAGATAATTTGGGGTTTACAATTTTATCTAGTAGGACAATATTTGTTAACTACAGTATTAATCCATTTGCATTTAATCATTACATTTAATTTTATGATATATTTAATTTTAAATCTATCCACTTTCTTATCCTCCTCGCCAAATTTGTTACCTTCTCTTCATTCTTTTAATTCTCCTTTCTCACCTTTAAGTATTTTTTACTCTCCTAGCCCCATTATCTTATTGATGCATAGTATTATATTATACCTTAAGGGGTTATATTATAAATTATAACATACATCCAAGACATATTAGAGGCTTTTTAAAATGAGTATTTTACACTTTGCAAACAAGTCAATGATCTTACAGCATATTAACTCCATTTATCACTCTTCCACCATTTCATGCTATTGTTGTCTTAAATCTTAATTCTATGTATANCATCCTGGGTGCTCACCTTTGACTCCTTATGATGTATAGTACAATTTCATGTTGAGTTTTGTGAATGGTCTAAGTTTGAAACTTCTTTCTTCTTTCTATATGGATCAGTAACTATCTAGCAATGTATATTTAGAAAATCATCCTTTCCTCCATTGCCTTCAGTTGACATCTTTGACGCAAATAAGGTAACAGCATATGTGTGGGTTTGTCTCTGGGCTATTTTGTTCTATTGGTCTATTTGTGGAGCACTAACACCGCATTCTTTTAATAACTGTATCTTTTGAGTAAGTCTTGATAACTTATAGCACAGTTCTCCGGCTTTTTTATTTCCGCTTCAAGATTACCTTGGCTATTCTTAGCCCTTTGCATTTCTATATACATGTTTGAATTGACTTTGGAATTTGCACAAAAATACCTGCTGGAATTTTTATGGAACTGTACTGAATCTGTAAGTCAATGTGGAGAGAACTATCTTTACAATAGGCATCTTTTAAGGAACACTGTGTATTTTATTTAGTTCATCTTACATTTCCTCTCAATATTATTTTATACTTGCCTGAATAGAGGGCTTCCACATCTTTCATCACATTTGTTTCTTGTGGTTTTAATGTTATTTAAATGATATGATTTATATAACATTTTCTAATTGTGGCTTATATAGAAATGCAATGAACATTTATATACACTTACTACTACATTCACTTTTTAAGTTCTATTAGTTTTCCTATAGTTTCTTAAGGATTTTCTAAATGTACAGATATGTCCTATACAAATACTGACAGCATCATTATATGCTTTTACAATCATTATGCTTTTCTATCCTTTTCTTGTCTTTTTGAACTGCCTAAAACTTCTAGTGTAATGTTAAATAAAAGTGATGCTATCAACCAACAATCACATTCTTGAGCTCAGGGGAAGCTTTCAAAATTTCACCAATAAGCATAATATTTGTAAAATTTTTTGAAGGGATATCTTTTATTAGATTTAGATAGCTCCCTTCTATTCCTAAATTGCTAAAGGATTTTTTTGCAATGAATTGATGTTGTATTTTATCAAATTATTGTTCTGTGTCTAGTGTAATAATTTTCATTCCTTAAATATGGTAATTTGCATTTAATTGCTTTTGAAATGTTTAACTAATCTTATATTCCAGGAATAAACTCCACTTGGTCATGTTGGCTTTTTATAAACCGCTGGATTCTATTGGCTAATATTTCAATTATTTTTTAAAACTATGTTTGGAGAGAAACTGGTCTGTAAATTATTATTTGTCATGTTCGCAATAGGTTTTAATAGTGAAGATATGCTGACCTCAAGAAATGATTTCAGAAGTATTCTTGCCTTCTAACAATTTGTATAATATTGATGATATTCTTCTTGAAACTGTTGGAAGACTTCCATTTGAAGCCATCTGGGCCTGGAGTTTTAGTTGTGACATGTTTTTTAATTAAGGATTTAAAATTTAAAATAGTTATGTGCTCATTCAGATTTTATCTTTTTTGTTATGTCAGTGTAATAAATTATATTTTAGAAGGAATTTGTATATTTTGTCTAACTTTAAATGTACTGGCATAAATATTCTCATTATTGTTTATCTTTGTAAGAACTCTAGTGAAGGCCTTTCTCGATAATAATTTGTGATATCTCCCCCCACCCTTCCCCCCAGTGGCCTTGCTAAAGCTTTTTTGGTTTTATTGGTCTTTTAAAAAAATAACCCTGGCCTTGTAACTTCTATTTTCTATTTTATTTTTATTCCAGATCATATTATTTTCTTTCTCTCACTTTCTTTTGATTTAATTTGCTTTTAAAACATTCTGATACTTATACTGTTTTACACTCTTTCCTTTATA